CCGGGCCGAGCTGCTCCAGCAGAAAGCAAAGCGACGGCTCGGCATCCTCAGAGCACTTTGCAGCCGAGCTCTCTGTAAATGGCTCCATTTCCCAGGCGGGTTCCCAGAGCCACGGGCCCAAAGCTATACAGCTGAGTCCCAGCCGCGTGTGCTAGCCACTGGCCCACAAGCTCCCTGGGGACAGAGGGCAGGGAACACCCAGCCCTGTTGACATGCTGGCTTCTCGCCTCCTGGCACGTTAACCGGAATGGCAGCCGCGTGGCTAGGTTGAGGTGTAGTAAGTTGAGGGCCTAACACAAAAGCCCACCCAGCACAGGCCTGGACAGCACTTGGTACCGACTGCAGAACAGTCCTTGGTACTGGTCATAAATGGAAATCACAGTCCAAAAGGTGGCACCTAGCACCAGGTCCTGTTCTGCACCCAGGCCTTCTGCCAGTGAGTGGTACCCTCCCAGCCACGTTCCTGCCGAGCCCTGTGAGCAGGGCCTGCCTTGCTCCCAGCTGAGCTGGGCTTTATATCAGCCAAGTGTTGTCCACTGTCAGCCAGGCCTGTGCTACATGGGCTTTTGGATTAGGCCCTCATCTCGCTACAGGGGGAGCTGGGGAAAACTACAGAACTAGGAACAGTCGCATAGAAACAGCCTGCCTATAGTCCCTGGTGTGTCACCTTGCTGCTTGGCTTCAGGTCCTTGGCCAGCGGCCTTCTCCCCCTTTCTACAGTGTCCTGGAAAGTGGCACTGCCGCGCTAGAACGACTCCACGAGCCCCTCTCCGGGGCCACTGTGCACCCCACTAGCCGGGAGTAGGGTCTCTGGAATTGGCTTTTGAGGGGGAAACAGAGGCAGGGTGATTTGCCCAAGGTCACACCATCTGTGGCGGAGCCGGGATCAGAAATCGAGTCCCAAGCTCCCCGGCCTGTGCGCAAATTCACTAGCCCAGCCCGAAGCCACAAGACTACTGGGGTTTAAACATTTTCAAGTCAGATTCAGCCTCAGCCTAAGCTGGAAGGGGAGACAAGTTCAATAGGGAGGAGGGGCAGAGTTTGGTGGCTTTCATGGAGCTGCTGCGTTCTCCTCCTGCTCAGCCGCAGGCTCATTGTGTGACCAGGCCCCACTCTCAGGGCCTCGGTCTCCTCATCTATAAAATGGGGATAATCCGGAGGGGGCCGGAGGCTGCTAAGTGTGTGGAGAGCTCCAGTGACGTGCACCGTGCCCCTGACAGATGGAGGTTGGCTGGTGCCGGGGGGAAGGGGAATGCAAAGCCCAGAGTCCAGGGACATGGAGGCTGCAATAGATTTCCAGCCCACAGACGTGCACTGCAAGGCTGTTCAGACCAGCAGCTGCTGGGCTGCATGTCCGGAGGGGGCCGGAGGCTGCTAAGTGTGTGGAGAGCTCCAGTGACGTGCACCGTGCCCCTGACAGATGGAGGTTGGCTGGTGCCGGGGGGAAGGGGAATGCAAAGCCCAGAGTCCAGGGACATGGAGGCTGCAATAGATTTCCAGCCCACAGACGTGCACTGCAAGGCTGTTCAGACCAGCAGCTGCTGGGCTGCATGAGGGAAACGCAGGACGGTGAGGTTCCCTCCCTGGCTTCAGCAGCGTGAGCTGCCTGGAGCTCTAACACCGCCTTCAAGTGTGGTGAGCAGCCACGGCCCGGTCCCATGCCCCCACGGCTCTCCCTGGCCAGCAGAGAACCGCTAGGTCCCAGGAACCCTGCCTAACAGCCTGCTCAGCTTCAACCTCGGGAGGGCAAGCCCCAGGCCCTCGCAGCTCCGTAAGCCGCG